TTCTCTTGTTAGAGTAATGTCATGGGCTTGTCTCATGTGATTCCTAGGGGCACCAGATTGAAGATGGCATGTCAAACGCCTCGTCAGCTTGGTCGACGTCATACCTATGTACTTACATTGAAGGTTACATCCTTCGTGGGGGCAAGTGTACATGTATACAACGCTTGACTGCTGTAGAGGGTTCTCCGTCGGCTTCGGGCTGTTTTTGATAAGGAGTTCGGAAGTCTTCTTGGTTTTGTAGAATATTATCAGGTTTATGTTTTGGTTAGGAGTAGTGCTTTTTACTCCTTTACGGATTATTTCTTTCATTATTCTTTCCTCTTTTATATGTTCACTGTGCATGGTTGATTTGTAATATAATTTTATTGGGGGTGTTGTGGTTTCTGTTCTAGGTTCTGAATTATACCAACGGTCCAAGTGTCTTCTTATAGCAGCGTTTATTTCCGCGTTGCTATATCCGTTGTTCACCAATACCTGAGTTACTCTTTCAAACTCTCTACTCACGTTGCTCCATTCAGAGCAGTGGGTAAGCGCTCGACGAATATAAGCATTGAGAACACTGGCTTTGTATCTTTGGGGGCACTCACTTCTGGATTAATCTTTGTGTTTGGATAGGAGATGCCTCGTATGGGCCAATAAGCCTTCTGCAGCCCCTATGTTTATCCCTTATGTATCCCCCCATGTTTTCACCTTCATTGTATTATCACCTGACCTAATGCGGGTATAAAATCAACTAGTATTGTAAGATCTGTTCACTTGAGAATGAACCATGGAGGTTCGAAACGTCGTGCAAATTATACAAATAAGTGTAATACACTCTATAGTAAATCACTTCTTTTCTTCACCTTAAAAGTACGAAAATGAGTTTTGGAGAACTCCTATTTCAATTAAGCCCTGATGCTAAGAAAATAGTTAGAGGGATAGAAGCCCTAAACCAGAAAATAATAAATACAGAATATGCGGTCATATTCAATGAAACATATATATATATATATATATATATATTTCTGCCCGAAACGCTGTGCGTACTAGTGGCTTTACAAGAATGTAAATACTGTACTATCCAATGTATTCTCACAAACCCAATGTACCTTCTTGTATATATATAAATAAATAAATAAATATATATATATATATATATATATATATATATATATATATATATATATATGTCGTACCTAGTAGCCAGAACTCACTTCTCAGCCTACTATTCATGGCCCGATTTGCCTAATAAGCCAAGTTTTCCTGAATTAATATATTTACTATAATTTTTGTATTATGAAATGATAAAGCAACCCTTTTCTCTATGTATGAGGTCAATTTTTTTTTATTGGAGTTAAAATTAACGTAGATATATGACCGAACCTAACCAACCCTACCTAACCTAACCTATATTTATAGGTAAGGTTAGGTTAGGTAGCCAAAAAAAGCTAGGTTAGGTTAGGTAGGTTAGGTAGACGAAAAAACATTAATTCATGAAAACTTGGCTTATTAGGCAAATCGGGCCTTGAATAGTAGGCTGAGAAGTGCGTTCTGGCTATTAGGTACGACATATATATATATATATATATATATATATATATATATATATATATATATATATATATATATATATATATATATATATATGTCGTACCTAGTAGCCAGAACGCACTTCTCAGCCTACTATGCAAGGCCCGATTTGCCTAATAAGCCAAGTTTTCATGAATTAATGTTTTTTCGACTACCTAACCTACCTAACCTAACCTAACCTAACTTTTTCGGCTACCTAACCTAACCTAACCTATAAAGATAGGTTAGGTTAGGTTAGGTAGGGTTGGTTAGGTTCTGTCATATATCTACGTTAATTTTAACTCCAATAAAAAAAAATTGACCTCATACATTATGAAATGGGTAACTTTATCATTTCATAAGAAAAAAATTAGAGAAAATATATTAATTCACGAAAACTTGACTTATTAGGCAAACCTGGCCTTGCATAGTAGGCTGAGAAGTGCGTTCTGGCTACTAGGTACGACATATATATATATATATATATATATATATATATATATATATATATATATATATATATATATATATATATATATATATATAACGCACACAAACCACACATAACGCATTAGAGGGAATGTTTAGGTCCCTCCAATACAGTTTCTGTGTGCTTTTCTTCTACCACCTCCTTCCTTTGGATTTTTTTTTTTTTGCTTTATTATATGTTCAAAGGTTACAAGATATACATTGGTTGATACGAAGAGCGCTTAGAGGTTATGGATCTCTTGAAGCTCCTCCTGTTCCCGGCCAGAACCGAGGATGCAGCAGGCGTTTCCCCTCTGGATCGCCACACTGAGGCGCTGAAACAAAAAACTGGCAGCTCTTGGGTCTCTGGTGACGTCAATGAGCTTGGAACCCAATTCCTTGAGAAATCCCAAGGCACTCTTGCTCCCAGGGGCCATGCGTCTCAGACGCTATGGGAACAAAGGTGTATTGACCTTCCAGTCGCCTGTACAAAATCCAGTGATTTTGCTGTTTCCCTGTGGTTGGCCGCCCCACCTGCTTGATCAGCTCCGAAGTGTACATTGGTGCCAGCCAGGGTGGATACACATGTGTAGTCCCACACCAACTGTTTGCCCCTCTTCAGGCGTATATGGTGATGCCATCAGGGCGAAGTGCAGGGAAATCCGGGTTTTGGACCCCTAGGATGCGAGGTTCTCTCTCCGCTGGGCACCTAGCTGAGACGAGGCTTCTCTTGATGATGTCATTGACCTCGTTGTGTCTTGCATGCCAGCTCTTTGTGCTTCCGCAATGCAACCCATGCAGTCCGTATTGGTCTGCTTCCACCCTGTTGCAAATACACTTGTATTCAGTGTGAATTGGGGCACCAAGGCGGAGGGCCACTGCTACACGAAGGGATTCTGGATCTAGGCGCGTGCTCATTGCTGACATGGGTACTGCCAGGAGGAAGTCTCCTGCATGGGGGGCACGCACTGCTCTGAGGCGGGCTTTCTCCTTGTCTGATGTTGCGGTGCTGAGCATGGCATCAGCTGTTTTTTATATATATAACCGAAAACTCACACCCCAGAAGTGACTCGAACCCATCTGCCAGGAGCACTATGCAACTGGTGTACGGGACACCTTAACCACTCGACCATCACGACCGGACAAAAGATGATGGTAGCCGAGGCTATTTCCCCATCATCCCGCCGGCACTCTGATGGTAATCTTGGGCATAGTATTTTATCAAATCACCTCATTCTTTGGGGCACACGTGAGAAACACAAATACGAACAAGCCTGAATGGTCCCCAGGCATATATGCAACTGAAAACTCACACCCCAGAAGTGACTCGAACCCATACTGCCAGGAGCACTATGCAAATGGTGTACAGGATACCTTAACCACTCGACCATCACGAGTGGACAAAAAATAATTCTGATGCTCTTATTGGTCGCCCGGATGGTATCACAGTGAACCCCTGGAAAAATGGCAAGCAGTTGGTATAGGACTATAGATGCGTATCAACCCTGGCTAACACCTACATTAACCTCAGTGTTGCACAACCAGGTGGCGCTGCCACCCACAGGGAATCAGCCAAATCCCGTAAGTACAGAGAACTGGATCACCTCTACAATTTTGTCCCCATTGCTTCTGAGACACTCGGCGCCTGGGGTAAGAGTGCCACCAGTTTTTTTTAAGGAACTGGGTTCTAGACTCATTGAAACAACAAAAGACCCTAGAGCTGCCAACTTCCTCAGTGTGGCGATACATAGGAGAAATGCACACTGCATTCGGGGTTCCTGCCCCACCATCTGGAGGAGCTCGACAACTTGTGATAATTATATATATATATATATATATATATATATATATATATATATATATATATATATATATATATATATATATATATATATATATATATATATATATATATATATATATATATACATATATATATACATATTTATTTATATATATATATATTTATATATATATATATAATATATATATATATATATATATATATATATATATATATATATATATATATATATATATATATATATATATATATATATATATATATATATACATATATATATATATATATATATATATATATATATATATATATATATATATATATATATTATATATATATATATATATATATATATATTTATATATTTAACTTGTTATTACTACACACACCCCCAGAGGGTATAGACTCGTTCCTCTCAATGTTTGCTGATTATTCAAAAATTATGAGGAGGATTAAGACCGAGGAAGATAGGAAGATACTCCAAGATGACCTAGACGAACTGGAGGAATGGTCCAACAAATGGATAATAGAGTTTAACTCGAATAAATGTAAGGCAATGAAACTAGGCGAAGGGAACAGGAGGCCGGACACAGGATTCCGAATGAGAGATGAAGTCCTTCTCGAAACGGACAGAGAGAGAGAGAGATCTAGGAGTCGATATCACACCAAACCTGTCACCTAAAGCTCACGTTGAAAGATTATCATCAGCGGCGTATGCAAGGCTGGCTATTATCAGAACTGCCTTTAGAAACTTGTGTAAGGAATCATTCAGAACCTTGTACACCACATATGCAAAACCAATCCTGGAGTATGCGGCCCCAGCATGGAGTCCGTACCTTGTCAAGCACAAGACGAAGCTGAAAAAAGTTTAGAGGTATGCCAGTTCAGAGGCTAGTCCCAGAACCAAGAGGCATGAGTTACGAGGAAGGGCTGCGTGAATTGCACGTCACGTCGCTGGAAGACAGAATAGTTCGGGGAGACATGATAACTATATACAAAATTCTCGGATGGTACTCGAACAAGGGGACACAGGTGGAAACTGAGTACCCAAATGAGCCACAGAGATATTAGAATAAAATTATCAGTATCAGAGTAGTTAGTAAATGGAATGCATTAGGCAGTGATGTGGTGGAGGCTGACTCCATGTACAGTTTCAAGTGTAGATATGATAGAGCCCAGTAGGCTCAGGAATCTGTACACCAGATGATTGACGGTTGAGACGCGGGACCAAGGAGCCAGAGCTCAACCCCCGCAAGCACAACTAATTGAGTACACACACACGTTTACACTGTAGCTGTCAGACTCACTGTTACACTGCTATAACAACCCAATTTGTAGTGTGTTCAGTCTGTGAGTGGCTGTCACATTCGGTCACGCTGTTACACTGTCACTCTCACAGTGTTCATGAGAAGGCAGCGTGGCGCCTCACTGAGGGAGAGGCGTCAAGGTAGACACACTGGCGGGTGAGAGAAGGCAGCGTGACACCTCACTGAGGGAGAGGCGTCAAGGTAGACACACTGGCGGGTGAGAGAAGGCGAGGCTGCCGTCCGCAGGGTGGTGGTCGAGGCAGGCCTGGGTGGCAGGCGTGTGACAGGGCCGCCAGGCGCCAGCGGCTGGTCGTGCCGGGACGCGCCAGTGCTGGGCGTGACGCAGGTTCTCGGGCCCCGTCTGGTCCCTGACGGCGGCGCCAGGGTTGGCCATGACGCTCACCCGCCGCCCGCCATACTCCACCCAGGTCGTCACGTTCCTGTAGCCTGCCGGCAGGCTGTGGCCCGTCAGGGGCGACCTGCACACCATGTCCACGAAGAAGGTGGCGCACTGGAGCACCAGCTGCCGTCTGGCGCTCGACAGCCTCACGTGACAACCGGTTTTCCTGCCCTTCAGGTAGCCATTGAGGGACTCCCAGGTCCGCCGGTCCTTGCAGTCGTAGTAAATGTCCTGGTCAAAGTCCCAGGGCAGGAAGGCGGCCAGCTTGACGGCGCCCAGGAGCGAGCCGTGGTGGAGCTCGTAGGCCAGGCCGTGCTGGCCCGCGAAGGTGTCCAGCACGGTGATGCCGGCCATGATGGCCTCCCGGCAGCACGGCGCCACCAGGTACGACGCGATCTTCTTCCGGAGATCAGAGCAGCTGATGGCCACCTCCCTGCAGGTGAAGCTGTACTGCTCGCCGTCGTGGGCCTGGATGGTCTGGAGCGACCACTGTCTGGCGTACGCTTGCCAATCAGAAGCGTCCATCGTAGCCTCCTCCTGCAGGAAGAACATGACGTCAGGGCAGGCTAGCGTGAGGTAGCCCGCCTGCGTCACTCTGGTGTGCCAGTCACGGTAGAGTGCGGGGCCACTCAGAGCGTGACTGAAGGGCACGCGGTGCACGAGGCCCACGCTGGCCAGGACTGGCCCTAACACGTCATCACAGTACATACACTCCTGACCTGAGTGTTGGTAGCCACTCAGGAAGGTGGCGTGATAGTTGGTGAGTGACCGCTGGAGGCAGCCGTGGCGCCACTGGCCGCGGTGGTCACGGTGGCTGCCGCCGGCCACGCCCTGGCCGCCCAGACGGTCCAGCACCCGCACCAGCCGCCCCAGGGCCGAGTGCTGCCACGAGAAGTCTCCCAGACCCTCGCCCAGGAACACATATGGCGTCGTCACTCTACTGACGGCGTCGTCCAGCGCCCTCCCGTCGCTGACGGCGGCGTCCTGTCTCACCACCACAACGGCTCTGTCCGTGACGGGAGACGGATCACCGTCTGAGAGAATGAGAACGATGGTAAGGTTGTAGTGGGAGTTGAGGGCACGCACCACCCGTGACACCCTAGAGGGCTGCCATCCCCTCGCTGCCACCACCACACTCAGCACCTGCCTCAGCGGGGGCGCTCCTGTGCACTTCTCCACCACGAATTTGGTGCCGTTGTGGTGCTCCGGACAGACGAGAGTGGCAGGACGGAGCGGCTCTCTGTCCAGGCGAGGGTCGAGTGTGGCTGCCACCTTGTGCAGCTCTCTCCTCCACCGCTCTCCAACACCTGCCATGAAAACATCAACATGTTTAACACTATCAAGAGGACATTAATACCTGCATCAAGTAAACCACGTGATTTAGTGTACATAATTACCCAGAGACACCCACTGGCATGAATATTATTCACTAGCTGGGGTGACAATTAGGGCACCATTCCTGCCCTCGGTCCTATCCTAAATCTTAGTCCCCATATTCCTTCCCAGTGCTGTATAGTCGCAATGGTTTAGTGCTTTCACACACAGTCGCCAGCAATGTACACAACGGCCGTGATCACCAGCATTGTAACATGGAAATTACTCTGGCTAACGCCCCGAGACCCTACGGGTACCCCAGTAACATGAAGGGGGTCACACAGAACCGAGGACCCAAGGATTTACTGTAGTGTAAACAGAACTCCTGGAGTACAACGATTTTCCCAGCGGCTCTCCGAACACCGGCCACGACCAACGGATCAAAGAAAGGCCTCTTTCTCGATGGCTTCAGCCGACAGTGTTGTGACACTTCCGGACGCTGTGCAGTATTAGTAAAGGACAGCCACTCCTAGACCAAACTCTCTTCCTATTTCTTCCTGCTCCAATTTTCCGGAAGGATGCTGTATACTCAGCCTGTCCTCCTAAGGTGCCCCAACGTCAACAAACTGTCGTACTAAAGTGCCCTTATCCTAATCTGCCAGAGGACCCAAAACAGAAATCGGGACAGTTCGTCACTTTCACCAGCCGCTTCCATTTTCTAGTACGACAATTTTTCGCCTTAGGTAGAGTATACTTCAAAATGCTACGTGCTATTAGGAGTACGGGTTGACTGGCCAATTATTTATTAATTCGTATTTCTAATTAAGGCAACCTGTCACATATGACGGGTGTATGTGACAGGGAGATTGCTATTGCCAGCAGTGAGGGCTTCAATCTTGCAAGACGGCAACATTATAATTATTAACGTTGATCACATGCAAGCTACGTACACAATATCTGGGCAGTATACAAATATAACCTGTACACGAGAGGCGTTATAGGGAGTTAAGGTGGTGGTGTTTAAGGGTTTAGGAAGAGTACCTGGATGTGAGGCCCGCAGGTCCCTCTGCAGCTTGGTGAGTGAGGCGGCCAGGCGCCGTCGCATCTCTGGGGATAAACACGGCTCCTTCGTGGACCTCGACCCCACCTCTGTAACACACGAGTGATGGAAGCTGTATAAGGCATCTCTCTCTCTCTCTCTCTCTCTCTCTCTCTCTCTCTCTCTCTCTCTGTCTCTGTCTCTGTCTCTGTCTCTGTCTCTGTCTCTGTCTCTGTCTCTGTCTCTCTCTCTCTCTCTCTCTCTCTCTCTCTCTCTCTCTCTCTCTCTCTCTCTCTCTCTCTCTCTCTGTCTCTCTCTCTCTCTCTCTCTCTCTCTCTCTCTCTCTCTCTCTCTCTCCTCTCTCCCTCTCTCTCTCTCTCTCTCTCTCTCTCTCTCTCTCTCTCTCTCTCTCTCTCTCTCTCTCTCTCTCTCTGTCTCTCTCTCTCTCTCTCTCTCTCTCTCTCTCTCTCTCTCTCTCTCTCTCTCTCTCTCTCTCTCTCTCTCTCTCTCTCTCTCTCTCTCTCTCTCTCTCTCCTCTCTCTCCCTCTGTCTCTCTCTTTCTCTCTGTCTCTCTCTCTCTCTCTCTCTCTCTCTCTCTCTCTCTCTCTCTCTCTCTCTCTCTCTCTCTCTCTCTCTCTCTCTCTCTCTCTCTCTCTCTCTCTCTCTCTCTCTCTCTCTCTCTCTCTCTCTCTCTCTCTCTCCTCCTAACACAGGGAGAAGGGTAGTGTGGTGGTGGTGTGTGAGCACACTACACCCTTGAAGAAGGATGCAGCCGTCGACACATACGTACGTTTGATGCGGGTGTCAGTGATGTAGTTGGTTGTTGTGGTCAGCGTCCAGAGTGTGGTGAGGAGCGCCGCCCCCACCACCGACCACACCACCACCACTCTCCGCCCTGAAACACAACACACTCACAGTAAGTGGTAAGTGTGTACAACAACACACACACTCACAGTAAGTGTGTACAACAACACATTCATAGTAAGTGTGTACAACATCACACACACTCCCAGTAAGTGTGTACAACATCACACACACTCACAGTAAGTGTGTACAACAACACATTCATAGTAAGTGTGTACAACATCACACACACTCCCAGTAAGTGTGTACAACATCACACACACTCACAGTAAGTGTGTACAACATCACACTCACAGTAAGTGTGTACAACATCACACACACTCACAGTAAGTGTGTACAACATCACACACACTCACAGTAAGTGTGTACAACATCACACACACTCACAGTAAGTGTGTACAACATCACACACACTCACAGTAAGTGTGTACAACATCACACACACTCACAGTAAGTGTGTACAACAACACACTCACAGTAAGTGTGTACAACAACACACTCACAGTAAGTGTGTACAACAACACACACACAGTAAGTGTGTACAACATCACACTCACAGTAAGTGTGTACAACATCACACACACTCACAGTAAGTGTGTACAACATCACACACACTCACAGTAAGTGTGTACAACATCACACACACTCACAGTAAGTGTGTACAACATCACACACACTCACAGTAAGTGTGTACAACATCACACACACTCACAGTAAGTGTGTACAACATCACACACACTCACAGTAAGTGTGTACAACATCACACACACTCACAGTAAGTGTGTACAACATCACACACACTCACAGTAAGTGTGTACAACATCACACACACTCACAGTAAGTGTGTACAACATCACACACACTCACAGTAAGTGTGTACAACATCACACACACTCACAGTAAGTGTGTACAACATCACACACACTCACAGTAAGTGTGTACAACATCACACACACTCACAGTAAGTGTGTACAACATCACACACACTCACAGTAAGTGTGTACAACATCACACACACTCACAGTAAGTGTGTACAACATCACACACACTCACAGTAAGTGTGTACAACATCACACACACTCACAGTAAGTGTGTACAACATCACACACACTCACAGTAAGTGTGTACAACATCACACACACTCACAGTAAGTGTGTACACATCACACACACTCACAGTAAGTGTGTACAACATCACACACACTCACAGTAAGTGTGTACAACATCACACACACTCACAGTAAGTGTGTACAACATCACACACACTCACAGTAAGTGTGTACAACATCACACACACTCACAGTAAGTGTGTACAACATCACACACACTCACAGTAAGTGTGTACAACATCACACACACTCACAGTAAGTGTGTACAACAACACATTCATAGTAAGTGTGTACAACATCACACACACTCCCAGTAAGTGTGTACAACATCACACACACTCACAGTAAGTGTGTACAACAACACACTCACAGTAAGTGTGTACAACATCACACACACTCACAGTAAGTGTGTACAACATCACACACACTCACAGTAAGTGTGTACAACATCACACACACTCACAGTAAGTGTGTACAACACAACACACTCACAGTAAGTGTGTACAACAACACACTCACAGTAAGTGTGTACACACAACACACTCACAGTAAGTGTGTACAACAACACACTCACAGTAAGTGTGTACAACAACACACACACAGTAAGTGTGTACAACAACACACTCACAGTAAGTGTGTACAACATCACACACTCACAGTAAGTGTGTACAACATCAACACACTCACAGTAAGTGTGTACAACATCACACACTCACAGTAAGTGTGTACAACATCACACACACTCACACACACAGTAAGTGTGTACAACATCACACACACTCACAGTAAGTGTGTACAACATCACACACACTCACAGTAAGTGTGTACAACATCACACACACTCACAGTAAGTGTGTACAACATCACACACACTCACAGTAAGTGTGTACAACATCACACACACTCACAGTAAGTGTGTACAACATCACACACACTCACAGTAAGTGTGTACAACATCACACACACTCACAGTAAGCGTGTACAACATCACACACACTCACAGTAAGTGTGTACAACATCACACACACTCACAGTAAGCGTGTACAACATCACACACACTCACAGTAAGTGTGTACAACATCACACACACTCACAGTAAGTGTGTACAACATCACACACACTCACAGTAAGTGTGTACAACATCACACACACTCACAGTAAGTGTGTACAACATCACACACACTCACAGTAAGTGTGTACAACATCACACACACTCACAGTAAGTGTGTACAACAACACACTCACAGTAAGTGTGTACAACAACACACTCACAGTAAGTGTATACAACAACACACAATAAACAACATAATTGTGCTTGCGGGGGTTGAGCTCTGGCTCTTTGGTCCCGCCTCTCAACCGTCAATCAACTGGTGTACAGATTCCTGAGCCTATTGGGCTCTATCATATCTACACTTGAAACTGTGTATGGAGTCAGCCTCCACCACATCCCTTCCTAATGCATTCCATTTGTCAACCACTCTGACACTAAAAAAGTTCTTTCTAATATCTCTGTGGCTCATTTGGGCACTCAGTTTCCACCTGTGTCCCCTAGTGCGTGTGCCCCTTGTGTTAAATAGCCTGTCTTTATCAACCCTGTCGATTCCCTTGAGAATCTTGAATGTGGTGATCATGTCCCCCCTAACTCTTCTGTCTTCCAACGAAGTTATGTTTAATTCCCGTAGTCTCTCCTCCTAGCTCATACCTCTCAGCTCGGTAAACTTGCACATTCAAATTCCTGTCTCAACCTTACTCTTATTGCACAAATGCACAATCTTTCACACACTTTCTCAAGCACAAGGTCACTTCTATACAATTCATACACTATCAAACACAAACTTGCTCAATTCTCAGTATCTTACACAGATCACAAACACAATCTTGCACACAGTTTAAAAAGCAGTCATTTCTAGTCAACTGTTACGACCCTGGGTTCCTCAGTGGAAACCAGAGGTCAAAATTGAGCTAAATAAACTACCTTATAGTATTGGGGACGCATGGCGAGCTGCATTTGTCGTATCTTCCCTGCCAGACGTAAGACGATTCTTGTTTCTCACAGAGCATATAAAGACTGAGCTTGGGGTTGATTATTAAATAATAAAATAGGCACCAACTATGTTTACTAATACTTTCTAATCATTTGTAAAGTAAACCTGAGTAAACTTGGGATAGGAATGCTGTACGATTAGTTGAGTAGTCTGCTGGCAGCGAGTGAACTGAGGGAGGAGAGTGGAGATGATCTCTCTTCTCTGACTGGCGTTCGTGGGAGTCAAGACCTTGCTGAGCTGCTCTGCACTCCTCTACCTTCCCTCTTACTTATTTCCCTTACCTTAAGTTCCTGTACCATTAAGTTAAGTCCTGTGTTTTTTAAGTGTGCCTACTCTGGGTTTGTAAGATGGGTGGAGACCTTGGGGTAGTATTTGTTAGTGTTTTGGGTACCCATTAGTGTTGTGTTAGGGTACCACGTGGGCTCAATACCCCCTAAGCTGCCCAAGCTTCAAGTGCTTCACTAGTAGTACTTTACCCTAGCTTGTTCTCAGTGTAAACCTTGTATCCTGCTTATGTGGACTAAGGCTTTTAACGTAAGATAGTGTGGTAAAGTAATTCTTATTATTGTTATTGGTGTGAATGTATATGGGGGGGTTGTTAAGGGGTTAATAAATAAGTTAAGTTAGTAAAGGAGTATCCATTCTTCCTGTGTAGGAGATCTATGATCAACCTCTAGACTGACATTATCTTGTAGCCAATTAATATTCACTGTGGATATTCCACTTGGGGGCCGGGCCTTTTAGATCTCCCATATTTGATAACTCTTAATGCTAACTACTGCCCCTACATCCATTTATACTAGATCCCCCATAGTACAGACTCCCATATTTAACATCAACTCACACACACTCTCTCTCAAACAGGACCTAACACAAACTTGCACAATTATCAATGTCTTACACAAAACACATAACACACAGAAATCACAATAGTGTATGCATCAAATGACCGGCTCTGTGGATTTGTTCACTAACACTTATACGAATTCACTCTTCTTTCATCCCAACTTATCCATCCCCCTAACCTATCTTAGTTTTCCTTAGTAATTCACAGTCATCTATCCTCTGTGCAATCTCTCAATAATGACATTCTTTCCCTCACAATTTTCACATCAATACCATTCCTTCCTAAAGGCACTACGGGCTCACCATAGCCCGTGTTACTTGGAACTTTTTGTTCCAGGTAGCGAATCTTTAACAACAACAACATTCCTTCCTACTTATCTTAGGCTTCGTAAATTTATATCTTTCCACTGCGCTTCTCTCAATAACACTACACCGTCTCAGTACACAAAAATTTCCACGCAGCTTTTCTGTGCCATACTCTGTGTGTACTTTGAGAGAGAAATCTATTGTTTCTGTACAAGTTTAATCAGCATGTACTCCAATATTTCTTACCAACACATCCTACCATTTTAGTAATCTTAGTCAAGGAAACGTATTTTCTACAGCTCGATCTCTCATCACAAATTTATATTCGGATTCAAAGCTTTCGTAAGATCTCACAATGAACTTTATTCTCGCCTAGACGGAGGTTCTTATTTCCAATTCTTGGTCATGTTATCAACTCTTGTGCGCATGAGCAGTGTTCCAGGCATTCGTGAAATGTTCAATATTTCTCACTTTGAGGTGTTTTGCACTACTCAGTGCCTCCTCCTTCGCTCGATCAGTTCCCATGCACGGGAGACAATTCCCAAGTCTCCATCATCTATCAGTCAGTCAGTTATTTACGAGTAAACCTCTATTATCTATCAGTCAATCGGTTATTTACGAGTAAACCTCTATTATCTATCAGTCAGTCAGTTATTTACGAGTAAGCCTCTATTATCTATCAGTCAGTCAGTTATTTATGATAAAGTCTTACTTCAGGTAACCATCTGTTACGAACCCGGATCCAGCGTCCGCGCCCGGAGCAGTGACGACCGCGCCATCTGTGGGTCAGCTCCCGAAACCCCCTCCAAACGGACGACGACACATGGTGAGGACGACGTGTACTGGCCTCGAGGGCCAGTTTCCAGTCTGGTTCAGCGCTCAACACAGCCGCTGCTGACCTCTGGTGAGGTGGTGCTCAGACACCAGCGCCATCTATGGAGTGGATAGGTGGGCGTTTGTGTCTGAGCCTGTAAGTGAGGTGCCTTAGTGTGTCCCAGTTATTGATGACGTGTCTGCTTACAGAGTCGACCTGGGACTGCTGTGATGGAAGTTGAGTCAGTCTACCCAAGGCAGCCGTCTCCATACCTTGTGCTTTGCTGCAGCAGCTGTGAAGTCGTCCCCCGGAAGAACACTGTGGTGTTACCCTGCCAGTGGAGTGGCAGTAGAAAGATTACCCGGGACCGACTGCTGGAGACGATTATCCACTGGGGTATTGAGGACAGGAGAGTGATTTGTGGTATCACACGAGGCTCCTGTCTAGGGCATTACCCTTATATCGTTCGTGGAGTGGCCTGACCAGCCTTGCTGATCCGGAACCTGCCAGCAGACCGGCTGGACTTGTGGTTGACGGCGGTGCCCCCAGTGGAGCTGTATTTTGGCTGGCCTGTGTCTGGGGTAGACTCAGCTTGATCGAAGGATTCGTCAAGAGACCACGAGGATCAAGAGCACCGAGGACTCAGCACCGAGAGCCTGGATCCAGAGTCTTCAGCAGAAGACCATTGTGTATTTCCCCTGTACAGTGTTAATACCCCTCCCCCTGTGCACTTCATTTATATATATAATTTATTTGGTGATGGTAACAATTATAATCTTAAGTTCTTAACTTTCTTTCCCTTCCCCCTTTACGTTTCTTGCGTCACGGATCACATCCCTTGAAAGCCACTACTGGCTTGGGGCCGGATACAACTTCCTCTAACAACATCAGAGTAGGAACCCCGTTGCGTCCCGAGAGGGCCGTAACACCATCTTTATTTCGTATGTTCTCTACCTCAGCATAAATTTGACGCAATAATTAATCCCGTTTCCAAAACAATCACAAGTTCTGAGCACAGTTTCACACATTGATCAGTTCATTCCCCTCTGAATTTACTAATAGAGTTTACTCATAATTACTGCGAGTTTACTAATAGTGGCCAATTCCACAATATTTCATCTCGCCCAGGCGTTAGTATTCCCAATGCTAGGCACCAGTCTCCGTGGTGTAGTGGTAAGACACTCGCCTGGCGTTCCGCGAGCGCTATGTCATGGGTTCGTATCCTGGCCGGGGAGGATTTACTGGGCGCAAATCCTTAACTGTAGCCTCTGTTTAACCCAACAGTAAAATGTGTACTTGGTTGTAACAAGGATTCTTCGCGGCGGGGATCGTATTCCAGGGACCTGCCCGAAATGCTACGCGTACTAGTGGCTCTACAAGAATGTAACAACTCTTGTATATATCTCAAAAAAAAAAACAATATATATATATTTTCCACAGAAGGAGCTCATATGTCCATCCATACCATCAGTTTCCATCATCTTGTGGCCTCCTCGACCAAAGTAGCCTAATACCTTTTTTTTTTTGGTATATTCCTCATTATTTCACTTACGTTAAAAAAAAAAATCCATTCCTAATCTTCGCTCAAACTAAGGTGGGGGTTCCACGCCGCTGGCCCTCACAGGATTGGGGGTGCTCCGACGGAACCCCCAAAGTGATAAGCCAAGAATACCAAGAATTGGAATTACCGTATATTCAATCATGCAACTTTCAATTACTAATTAGAGATGTCACTTCACTGTATTTGATTTAATACATTATCATTATAACGGCTATCCATTAATATTATTTCTGTATAATAATTTATGGTTATTCACTAATCATTATTAGTCACCATAATTAATTATCCACTTTAATTATCTATTTATTCGTTATAATGAGCTATTATGCTTCTTCATTTAAGGATTATCAATTATTTAATCACTTATTATGATTATTATTATTAATTAATTATTTGTATTTAATAAATAATTAATTATTATTATTATTATAAAAATAAAATAAGTCCCCCACTCTGTGAGCGTTTTCTTCCAACCGCAGAAAAAACCATTCCATTGGTAACCTTCGCTCAAACTAAGGTTTGACAAGTAGTCGTGTCAGTAACAATGCAGTTTACCTGTTTCCTCGTATTCTCTATATTATCCTTAATCCATATACTTCAATATTTATGTGCTTGATCGCTCAATTTTTTTCCATATCAACACAGGAACTTTTTTTCAATTCTCGGCACTGGTTGGGCAATGTATATGCTCACAATGTCTCATCATATTTCATCTGGAGCATAAGAACTTGTTATCAGGCAGTGTCACTTCCTTGCAAGTTTTGCATAGATACTAATTTCCATTATCAATCTATATCATCAACGCGTTTTTTCCTTTATAAGATTACCAGCGATGTAGCTGTTATTTACACTATCAAACTGTCTCATCAAAGGATTATTATGGTGCATGATTTGTAAGATATCCACCTTGTTCCGCTTTGTCCAGTCAATCTCTGCAAACTAGGTACACTTTGTCTTATCAATCCATATATTTAGGGAATTACTCATATGATGAGACCCAACCTGACCTGACCTGACCTCGAGAGACCCTGTCACCCGGGTCCTTGTTTCTAAGATCATTGTCAGTCATATTTTGTGTATTTGAATGAACTGTTTATCAACCCGCATCCTCGAATTTACTATATTTTTTTCACACAGCATTATTTACCTGAATTTACCTGAGCGCCACTAGCACTAGTGGCCTCGACGAGGACAGGCAGCGGCTTGTCAAAGGTCCCCCCATTTGCCCTGATGATATTTTCTAGTTATATTTTTGAACCCAAAAGTGTTTTCGCTTTTCCGGCTTCGGCGGGTAGGCGGTTCCATGGGTTTACAACTATCGATATTATATTTGTTGTCCTCTTGTCCATCCTTTAATACACTTGAGCTTCTGAACAATGTTTACAAAATTATTGATAATTTCATATGATTTACTATAGTTAATAAGATAAAAAAAAAACACTTTAAATTGGTTGACACTGGTTCGATGTCAAGGGATATTGAGCCCTGTCAGAGGCCCGGCGGGGTGGCCTCCTTGTCATGGCTCACACAAGGTCATGTCACACTTGAGGTCAACCTCAGGCCAACAGGTGGGGTCACTAGATGTCACTTGAGGGTGAGAGAGACTGGCAAGAGTGCCTGGCAAGCTGTCAACACAGACTGGCTCTCACCCTTGGCCGGGACGCTCTCCATGTTGTGGTGTCGGTGCTGGTACTGGCCCGTCCGTCCTCCGCCACCCCTTGCCTGCGCGCGGCCATGTGCACCTGGCCATGCGCTCTGGTGCACATGGCCACTCTCTGGTGCACATGGCCACACACTGGTGCACATGGTCACACACACACTGGTGCACATGGTCACACACACACTGGTGCACATGGTCACACACACTGGTGCACATGGCCACATTCTGGTGCACATGGTCACACACTGGTGCACATGGTCACACACTGGTGTACATGGTCACACACACTGGTGCACATGGCCACATTCTGGTGCACATGGTCACACACTGGTGTACATGGTCACACACTGGTGCACATGGTCACACACTGGTGCACATGGTCACACACACTGGTGCACATGGCCACACACTCTGGTGCACATGGTCACACACACTGGTGCACATGGTCACACACACTGGTGCACATGGTCACACACACACTGGTGCACATGGTCACACACACACTGGTGCACATGGTCACACACACACACTGGTGCACATGGTCACACACTGGTGCACATGGCCACACACACACTGGTGCACATGGTCACACACACACTGGTGCACATGGTCACACACTGGTGCACATGGCCACACACACACTGGTGCACATGGCCACACACACACTGGTGCACATGGTCACACACTGGTGCACATGGTCACACACTGGTGCACATGGCCACACACACACTGGTGCACATGGCCACACACACACTGGTGCATATGGTCACACACACTGGTGCACATGGTCATACACACTGGTGCACATGGTCACACACACTGGTGCACATGGTCACACACACTGGTGCACATGGTCACACACACTGGTGCACATGGTCACACACACACTGGTGCACATGGTCACACACACACTGGTGCACATGGTCACACACACTGGTGCACATGGTCACACACACACTGGTGCACATGGTCACACACACTGGTGCACATGGTCACACACACTGGTGCACATGGTCACACACACACTGGTGCACATGGCCACACACACACTGGTGCACATGGTCACACACACACTGGTGCACATGGTCACACACACTGGTGCACATGGTCACACACACTGGTGCACATGGTCACACACACACAGGTGCACATCGTCACACACACTGGTGCACATGGTCACACACTGGTGCACATGGCGACACACACTGGTGCACATGGCCACACACACTGGTGCACATGGTCACACACACTGGTGCACATGGTCACACACACACTGGTGCACATGGTCACACACACACTGGTGCACATGGTCACACACATTGGTGCACATGGCCACACACACACTGGTGCACATGGTCACACACACTGGTGCACATGGTCATACACACTGGTGCACATGGTCACACACACTGGTGCACATGGTCACACACACTGGTGCACATGGTCACACACACTGGTGCACATGGTCACACACACACTGGTGCACATGGTCACACACTCTGGTGCACATAGCCACACACACACTGGTGCACATGGTCACACACACTGGTGCACATGGCCACACACACACTGGTGCACATGGTCACACACACTGGTGCACATGGTCACACACACACTGGTGCACATGGCCACACACACACTGGTGCACATGGTCACACACACACTGGTGCACATGGTCACACACACTGGTGCACATGGTCACACACACTGGTGCACATGGTCACACACACACTGGTGCACATCGTCACACACACTGGTGCACATGGTCACACACTGGTGCACATGGCGACACACACTGGTGCACATGGCCACACACACTGGTGCACATGGTCACACACACTGGTGCACATGGTCACACACACACTGGTGCACATGGTCACACACACACTGGTGCACATGGTCACACACATTGGTGCACATGGCCACACACACACTGGTGCACATGGTCACACACACTGGTGCACATGGCCACACACACACTGGTGCACATGGTCACACACACTGGTGCACATGGTCACACACACACTGGTGCACATGGCCACACACACACTGGTGCACATGGTCACACACACACTGGTGCACATGGTCACACACACTGGTGCACATGGTCACACACACTGGTGCACATGGTCACACACACACTGGTGCACATCGTCACACACACTGGTGCACATGGTCACACACTGGTGCACATGGCCACACACACTGGTGCACATGGCCACACACACTGGTGCACATGGTCACACACACTGGTGCACATGGTCACACACACACTGGTGCACATGGTCACACACACACTGGTGCACATGGTCACACACATTGGTGCACATGGCCACACACACACTGGTGCACATGGTCACACACACTGGTGCACATGGCCACACACACACTGGTGCACATGGTCACACACACACTGGTGCACATGGTCACACACACACTGGTGCACATGGTCACTCACACTGGTGCACATGGTCACACACACACTGGTGCACATGGTCACACACACACTGGTGCACATGGTCACACACTGGTGCACATGGCCACACACACACTGGTGCACATGGCCACACACTGGTGCACATGGCCACACACACACTGGTGCACATGGTCACACACACACTGGTGCACATGGTCACACACACACTGGTGCACATGGTCACACACACACTGGTGCACATGGTCACACACACACTGGTGCACATGGTCACACACACACTGGTGCACATGGTCACACACACTGGTGCACATGGTCACACACACTGGTGCACATGGCCACACACACTGGTGCACATGGTCACACACACACTGGTGCACATGGTCACACACTGGTGCACATGGCCACACACACACTGGTGCACATGGTCACACACACTGGTGCACATGGTCACACTGGTGCACATGGCCACACACACTGGTGCACATGGCCACACACACACTGGTGCACATGGTCACACACTGGTGCACATGGCCACACACACACTGGTGCACATGGCCACACACACACTGGTGCATATGGTCACACACACTGGTGCACATGGTCATACACACTGGTGCACATGGTCACACACACTGGTGCACATGGTCACACACACTGGTGCACATGGTCACACACACTGGTGCACATGGTCACACACACTGGTGCACATGGTCACACACACACTGGTGCACATGGTCACACACACACTGGTGCACATGGTCACACACACTGGTGCACATGGTCACACACACTGGTGCACATGGCCACACGCACACTGGTGCACATGGTCACACACACTGGTGCACATGGCCACACACACACTGGTGCACATGGTCACACACACTGGTGCACATGGCCACACACACACTGGTGCACATGGTCACACACACTGGTGCACATGGCCACACACACACTGGTGCACATGGTCACACACACTGGTGCACATGGCCACACACACACTGGTGCACATGGTCACACACACTGGTGCACATGGTCACACACACACTGGTGCACATGGCCACACACACTGGTGCACATGGCCACACACACACTGGTGCACATGGTCACACACACACATGAAGACACAGAAGCCGGAGGAGGCAGAAGTCACACTGCAGCAAGCTCCTGGAAATATCGAATTACCTAAGTATTGGGCACAGGTTGAGGGCTACAGTGGTGTCCCGGGTTACATAAAGGTTCAGGGAAGAGTAAAAGCAAATAAAATACAATAAACAAGTAAAACTGAGTGAAAATAGTCGAGTGGAAAAGTTTGTTTTGGTCTAGAACAAAATCAAAGATGGCCGCCGCCACCACCCCCACTGAGAAGGTAGACACACCATCAGATGATGGTTTCAAAGGATTCTCAACACAAGATATAAGGAAAGGAGGTGTTCTTGGCAGGTTAGAGATAATTGAGGACATGCAAATGTAGTATGAAGAAAAAGTGCTTAAATTAGAAGAGGACAATGGAGCTCTTTGGAGTGAGCTTTGCACTCTAAAAGGGAGTATGCTTCAACAAGGTAAGATTATTACTGCATTAACAGACAAGGTAACAAATCAGGAGGAGCAAATCAAGGAACTAGTGAAAGAAAATGAGGCATGGAAAGTGAAGTGTGGTGACTTTGAAGAAATAAACAAGAAGATAGACTCATATGGTGAACAACTCCAAGCAAGCCTAAGGGCTAACATAGAGTTAGGTAAGGATCTCCAACTGGAAACTTCACTGACAACTCACATAGAGGAGGTGAATAAAGAACTAGAAAAGTATAAAGAAGAAATAAAAGCGACATATGCTCAAGTTGTAAAAGAGAAAGAGACTATCAAAGAAGTGTGTTCGGAAGTCAAAACCAGAAATGACCAACAAGAAGCAGAAATTAGGCAAGCAATTAGGAAAGAACTGGTTACCAACAGTAAACTGGTACAAAACACTGCAGATAGAACTAAGTCCATAATCATTTTTGGATGTTTAGAGAAGGAAATTTCATCTAGGGTGGACCGAGCGGCAGAAGAGATGAAAATCATAGAGAAAATAGTAGGTTTAGGAGAAGGCTCAAAGGAAAATGTCAGTGATTTTAGAAGAATAGGAAAATATGAGAAAGGAAAGAACCTTAAGGGTGACCTTTAATGGAGTGAAAAACATGATGGAAGTGCTAAGAAATGCCAGGAAACTGCAGAGTGATGAGGTTGGCAAATCTTGGTCAATAAGACAAGACCTCTCCAAGGAAGACAGAGAAAAGCTGAAAATGAACTTAATTGAGGCAAAACGTCTAAATGGGGATAGAAATGAAGAAGACAGAAATTCTTTTTTTTACAAAGTGACAGGGACTGGAAAGCTTGTGAAATGGTACATAAAAACAAAGCAACAAGGTCAGTAGTGGAAGGGGGAGTAAAGAGCAAAGGAAAAGGGAACATGTTCCTGAAAATTGTATATACCAACATAGATGGAGTGAGGTCAAAAACTTTGGAGTTGCAAGATATAATCCAGCTTAGGGTCCCAGATATTGTTGCATTATCAGAAACGAAACTTGAAGGAAATATAATAAATGAAGTCAT